AGAGTTTGGTGCAGAGTAGAGTAGAGTGTGGTGCAGAGTAGAGTATAGCGTGGTGAGTAGAGTAGAGTGTGGTGCAGAGTAGAGTATAGTGTGGTGCAGAGTAGAGTAGAGTGTGGTGCAGAGTAGAGTAGAGTTTGGTGCAGAGTAGAGTAGAGTTTGGTGCAGAGTAGAGTAGAGTGTGGTGCAGAGTAGAGTAGAGTTTGGTGCCGAGTAGAGTAGGGTAGAGCAGAGTAGTGTAGAGTAGGGTAGAGCAGAGTAGTGTAGAGTAGAGTAGAGCAGAGTAGAGTAGGGTAGTGTAGAGTGTGGTGCAGAGTAGAGTAGAGTGTGGTGCAGAGAAGAGTACAGTGTGGTGCAGAGTAGAGTAGAGTTTGGTGCAGAGTAGAGTATAGTGTGGTGCAGAGTAGAGTAGAATGTGGTGCGGAGTAGAGTAGAGTGTGGTGCAGAGTAGAGTGTGGTGCAAAGTAGAGTGTGGTGCAGAGTAGAGTTTGGTGCAGAGTAGAGTAGAGTGTGGTGCAGAGTAGAGTAGAGTTTGGTGCAGAGTAGAGTAGAGTGTGGTGCAGAGTAGAGTAGAGTAGAGTGTGGTGCAGAGTAGAGTATAGCGTGGTGCCCTCTTCTCATTCCTGTCCTGTCAGCGGCTTTATAACAGCCAGCATTTATATTCATCTATCTTGTACATTATTACATCTGTAAACATCCAATAAAATCTTAATATAAGACTCAGTGTGTCTGTCTGTCAGAATAGAGTCATGTAGAGTAGAGTAGAGTATAGTAGTGTAAAGTAGAGTATAGTAGTGTAAAGTAGAGTAGTGTAGAGTAGTTTAGTGTAGAGTAGAGTAGGGTAGAGCAGAGTAGTGTAGAGTAGGGTAGAGCAGAGTAGAGTAGAGTAGAGCAGAGTAGAGTAGGGTAGAGTAGAGTGTGGTGCAGAGTAGAGTTTGGTGCAGAGTAGAGTAGAGTGTGGTGCAGAGTAGAGTACAGTGTGGTGCAGAGTAGAGTACAGTGTGGTGCAGAGTAGAGTAGAGTTTGGTGCAGAGTAGAGTATAGTGTGGTGCAGAGTAGAGTAGAATGTGGTGCGGAGTAGAGTAGAGTGTGGTGCAGAGTAGAGTGTGGTGCAAAGTAGAGTGTGGTGCAGAGTATAGTAGAGTGTGGTGCAGAGTACAGTGTGGTGCAGAGTAGAGTACAGTGTGGTGTAGAGTAGATTGTAGTGCAGAGTAGAGTAGAGTGTGGTGCAGAGTAGAGTAGAGTGTGGTGCAGAGTAGAGTATAATGTGGTGCAGAGTAGAATAGAGTGTGGTGCAGAGTAGAGTAGAGTGTGGTGCAGAGTAGAGTAGAGTTTGGTGCAGAGTAGAGTATGGTGCAGAGTAGAGTAGAGTGTGGTGCAGAGTAGAGTTTGGTGCAGAGTAGAGTGTGGTGCAGAGTAGAGTGTGGTGCAGAGTAAAGTAGAGTATAGTGTGGTGCAGAGTAGAGTAGAGTGTGGTGCAGAGTAGAGTTTGGTGTAGAGTAGAGTAGAGTGTGGTGCAGAGTAGAGTAGAGTTTGGTGAGGAGTAGAGTAGAGTGTGGTGCAGAGTAGAGTAGAGTGTGGTGCAGAGTAGAGTATAGCGTGGTGAGTAGAGTAGAGTGTGGTGCAGAGTAGAGTATAGTGTGGTGCAGAGTAGAGTAGAGTGTGGTGCAGAGTAGAGTAGAGTTTGGTGCAGAGTAGAGTAGAGTTTGGTGCAGAGTAGAGTGTGGTGCAGAGTAGAGTTTGGTGCAGAGTAGAGTAGAGTGTGGTGGTGCAGAGTAGAGTAGAGTTTGGTGCAGAGTAGAGTAGAGTGTGGTGCAGAGTAGAGTAGAGTGTGGTGCAGAGTAGAGTATAGCGTGGTGAGTAGAGTGTGGTGCAGAGTAGAGTGTAGAGTTTGGTGCAGAGTAGAGTAGAGTTTGGTGCAGAGTAGAGTAGAGTTTGGTGCAGAGTAGAGTAGAGTGTGGTGCAGAGTAGAGTATAGCGTGGTGAGTAGAGTGTGGTGCAGAGTAGAGTAGAGTGTGGTGCAGAGTAGAGTAGAGTTTGGTGCAGAGTAGAGTATGGTGCAGAGTAGAGTAGAGTGTGGTGCAGAGTAGAGTTTGGTGCAGAGTAGAGTGTGGTGCAGAGTAGAGTGTGGTGCAGAGTAAAGTAGAGTATAGTGTGGTGCAGAGTAGAGTTTGGTGTAGAGTAGAGTGTGGTGCAGAGTAGAGTAGAGTTTGGTGCAGAGTAGAGTAGAGTGTGGTGCAGAGTAGAGTAGAGTGTGGTGCAGAGTAGAGTATAGCGTGGTGAGTAGAGTAGAGTGTGGTGCAGAGTAGAGTATAGTGTGGTGCAGAGTAGAGTAGAGTGTGGTGCAGAGTAGAGTAGAGTTTGGTGCAGAGTAGAGTAGAGTTTGGTGCAGAGTAGAGTTTGGTGCAGAGTAGAGTAGAGTGTGGTGCAGAGTAGAGTAGAGTTTGGTGCAGAGTAGAGTAGAGTTTGGTGCAGAGTAGAGTAGAGTTTGGTGCAGAGTAGAGTAGAGTGTGGTGCAGAGTAGAGTATAGCGTGGTGAGTAGAGTAGAGTGTGGTGCAGAGTAGAGTATAGTGTGGTGCAGAGTAGAGTAGAGTGTGGTGCAGAGTAGAGTAGAGTTTGGTGCAGAGTAGAGTAGAGTTTGGTGCAGAGTAGAGTGTGGTGCAGAGTAGAGTAGAGTGTGGTGCAGAGTAGAGTAGAGTTTGGTGCCGAGTAGAGTAGGGTAGAGCAGAGTAGTGTAGAGTAGGGTAGAGCAGAGTAGTGTAGAGTAGAGTAGAGCAGAGTAGAGTAGGGTAGTGTAGAGTGTGGTGCAGAGTAGAGTAGAGTGTGGTGCAGAGAAGAGTACAGTGTGGTGCAGAGTAGAGTAGAGTTTGGTGCAGAGTAGAGTATAGTGTGGTGCAGAGTAGAGTAGAATGTGGTGCGGAGTAGAGTAGAGTGTGGTGCAGAGTAGAGTGTGGTGCAAAGTAGAGTGTGGTGCAGAGTATAGTAGAGTGTGGTGCAGAGTACAGTGTGGTGCAGAGTAGAGTACAGTGTGGTGTAGAGTAGATTGTATTGCAGAGTAGAGTAGAGTGTGGTGCAGAGTAGAGTAGAGTTTGGTGCAGAGTAGAGCAGAGTTGGGTGCAGAGTAGAGTATAATGTGGTGCAGAGTAGAATAGAGTGTGGTGCAGAGTAGAGTAGAGTGTGGTGCAGAGTAGAGTAGAGTGTGGTGCAGAGTAGAGTAGAGTTTGGTGCAGAGTAGAGTATGGTGCAGAGTAGAGTAGAGTGTGGTGCAGAGTAGAGTGTGGTGCAGAGTATAGTGTGGTGCAGAGTAGAGTAGAGTGTGGTGCAGAGTAGACTATAGCGTGGTGAGTAGAGTAGAGTGTGGTGGAGAGTAGAGTGTGGTGCAGAGTAGAGTTTGGTGCAGAGTAGAGTAGAGTGTGGTGCAGAGTAGAGTAGAGTTTGGTGCAGAGTAGAGTAGAGTTTGGTGCAGAGTAGAGTAGAGTTTGGTCCAGAGTAGAGTAGAGATTGGTGCAGAGTAGAGTAGAGTGTGGTGCAGAGTAGAGTATAGCGTGGTGAGTAGAGTAGAGTGTGGTGCAGAGTAGAGTATAGTGTGGTGCAGAGTAGAGTAGAGTGTGGTGCAGAGTAGAGTAGAGTTTGGTGCAGAGTAGAGTAGAGTTTGGTGCAGAGTAGAGTGTGGTGCAGAGTAGAGTGTGGTGCAGAGTAGAGTAGAGTTTGGTGCAGAGTAGAGTAGAGTGTGGTGCAGAGTAAGGAGGAGGCAGTCGTAGAGAAAAGGAGCTTTACTATAAAGAAGGCAAAGCAGATTCTTTTACAGTGTTTATATAGAGCTGTTACTACATAAACAGCTGCTCTGTGTGGAAGCTTAGGACACACCCCAGCAGTAAGCTAACACTGCTAACAATGCCAACACTGCTAACATTGCTAACAATGCTAACACTGCTAACACATGAACACTCCGGAACAGACCTTTGGAGACTACAGACTCTGAGACCTTGGGCCATGAAGAGCCATGATGGGCCATGATGAGCCATGATGAGCCATGATGGGCCATGTCAGGCCAATATGAGCCATGATGGGCCATGTCAGGCCAAAATGAGCCATGATGAGCCATAATGGTGGAAACAGGCTCTAGATTGTTTTGATGGTTGAATAGTTAGTTTCTGACATTAAAACACTTGTTTCACTTGAGTCAAAGCTGCTGAGATTTAAAGTCTGGAATCCAGAGGTTTGATGTTTAACAGAGTTAGACTTAAACTGATTACTTTACAAATAAAACTTTATGAGAACAACATTTATATAGAATTTGAAATGACTCAAGTTCAGGCTCATTTACAGAAGATTATTTTACTTTCACTTTGTTTTTACAGAACTTTCACCTGTAAACAAACCCAGCTACATTTAAAGATGGTCCAGACCCGGGACTCCAACCTTTATCCCAAAGAGAGCTACTATTGCAGGACAAGAAGGCAGAGAGCTACTATTGCAGGACAAGAAGGCAGAGAGCTACAGAGAGTCAATATTGTAGAATGGTGTGTTTTCTGTGTATTTAACTGAAACCATTAATTATTCTGTTTCCTTCAATGTGAACTGTGCTATACGAACATACTTGTATTCCGTTGCCATGCCAACTGGTGTCAGCAAACATGAAATATCCAACGATTCTTTAACATTTTGAAATCCTTTGGGGGGGCTCCCTGGACGGGGGCGGTGAGCTACTGTTAGCTCCCAGCTGATAGCTCCCAGCTGATAGCTCCCAGCTGATAGCTCCCAGCTGATAGCTCCCAGCTGATAGCTCCCAGCTGCAGGTTGGAGGCCCCTGGTCCAGACCGGTCTGTACGTGTTAGCATCATGACATCACAGGATGTGGTCGTTTCAAACATCATCAATAATAAGTATTTTAAGGACTTCGCCACAAACGCCTGAAGTCGAGTCATTTGGACAAAGATATGATCAAAACAGCAACAAGTCAAATAAATATTTAAATAATCCCTTTGTGGGCGGAGTCAACATGACGTCTGGGCCTTTATCCTCTTTTTTCAACGAGCATCTTTCAAAAGGTATATATATATATATATATATATATATCACACAGGTGCATCATGGGACTTTTGTATTTGTGGTTCTAGGACAATCATGGGACGTTAAGAACATTTTAAATCAGGTGTTTTTTACCAATTGGACCCAAACCCACTTTTCAATTTCAAGTTCTTCATCCGTCGTCCTCAGAGGCCTGTCTCCATCATATTAGTCATAATAATCATGATAATTATAATAATCATAATGATCTTAATAATGTAAATAAACACTTCAGGCCATTGTTGTTTGGCATCGTTTACGAAAAACACTTTTTGACACTTTAGATTCTCTGAGTTTAAAACTTAAATAATATAAAACCAGGAATTAAAACATAAACCTTTGGCCACACTGAGGTCAAATTTGGAAAGTCTAATATTAAATCTAGGAACCTGTGCTTTAGCCTGAATGTTACATTTATCTCATTCTTATTTGAATGTTATTCTAAAACACACCACAGGGGGTCACTATCTGCCTCCTGGGCTCAGAATCTGTTTGGATCGAAGTAAAAACTCGTCATAGAAGCAACTGTTCTGAAACTAGTTACATATAGTTACATTTATGGTTAAAATTAGGAACCCCAGCTTTAAACGGAAGAATAACAACGTGGTTTAGGGAAAAACCAAATAAGTAACGTAGCATTAATGAGAGTGATGGAGACAGGCCTGCGGAGCGCCCCCTGCTGGCTCCTGCAGTGTTCCCGGAGCGCCCCCTGCTGGCTCCTGCAGTGTTCCCGGAGCGCCCCCTGCTGGCTCTTGCAGTGTTACCGGAGCGCCCCCTGCTGGCTCCTGCAGTGTTCCCGGAGCGCCCCCTGCTGGCTCCTGCAGTGTTTTGAAAGATACTCGAGGCCTGTTCAGCGTCCAAACAAACCATGGAACAGAGTTATTAAACTGTACACAATGTAATAAATAAACATTTAAATAAGTCTAAGTAACGCAGCAGTGAGAGGTGAGCGAGGACAGGCACAAACACAGCTCCAGGCCACGCTGCACGTCCACTTTTTATACTTGCTTCTTTTGTGTGCTAAAGAAAACTATGTTCAGTTTTGTGTCACTGCATTTCCCACAGAGGGACCAGCACATCTTCATCTTCATCTTATTTTAAGGCTCAGGTCCTGTTCTGTGATTCATGTTGAGTAAATCTAGATCCAGAACTTCTGAGAGTTTTTAAAGTCAGAGAATGATTCTGACTTTTCCCAGAGCAGACTCTAAACTAGTCTCTACCTAAGACCCAAGACCCTAAGACCCAAGACCCCCAGACCTAAGGCACTCCTGCTGACGATCTGGGATTAAAACTGGATTATGGGTTGTTCCTTCGATATGTTACTGGATTAAAGTAAAAAAGAAGCACATCAGAGGATATTCTGAAATATACTGAAATGTCCCAACTGTGGGACGACTAAAGGAGTTTCTTCTTCTATTCTTTGAGTGAATGTGTTGTTTGTAAAGTGGCTCTGGAGCTGTGTCGGGGTCCACTACAGACACTGAGGAGACAAACACCAAACAGAGGACTCTTCTATTCCACTAAAACCACTTCAGACTCAGATGTTATTTTGCAAATGTATCGTCTTCATTCAACTCCAGATGGAAAACTATGGAATGTTCTGTGTCGAGACGCACCGGAGCGACAGAGGACTCACAAATACTGTTGGTTCAGTCTTAGGAATTTATTTTGATGTAAAACGTTGCCCTGTCCTCAGAGTTTAATGTCCGTCAGTGTCGTCAGGACTAACTCCTGTAGACCAAGGTCAGGACTAACTCCTGTAGACCAAGGTCAGGACTAACTCCTGTAGACCAAGGTCAGGACTAACTCCTGTAGACCAAGGTCAGGACTAACTCCTGCAGACCAAGGTCAGGACTAACTCCTGTAGACCAAGGTCAGGACTAACTCCTGCAGACCAAGGTCAGGACTAACTCCTGCAGACCAAGGTCAGGACTAATTCCTGTAGACCAAGGTCAGGACTAACTCCTGCAGACCAAGGTCAGGACTAACTCCTGTAGACCAAGGTCAGGACTAACTCCTGTAGACCAAGGTCAGGACTAACTCCTGTAGACCAAGTATAACAGTGGGATCGGTGCTAACCTCTCAGACGATCACCTGAATCCAAATGGTTTTAGTGTGATTAGAAATTCCCGTTTTGCAGCGTTATGTAATATTTGAAAACATTAAAAGATAGAATGAATGGAGCTCCATGTCTCCCTCAGACAGCCTCCACAGGAAGGATCTGGGTGGTGTTGGAGACTGTCCGTGTCTCCCTCGGACAGCCTCCACAGGAAGGATCTGGGTGTTGTTGGAGACTGTCGGCATCTTTGGTGATGTTAAATAAACTACAGTCCAGCACCGAACATCACGGCCTCATTTGTCTCTTTTTTCATTTTACTACTTTGCTCCTACGTCATCAGCTCATTTAGTCAACATGCTGCAGCAGTGTCCGGCCCGAGACTGCGGACCCCCCACATCCTCATCGCCTGACCACAAACCTCATGGTCACATTATCAACATATATATAGAGAGAGGGTGAGAGAGAGAGAGGGTGAGAGGGTGAGAGAGAGAGAGAGGGAGAGAGAGAGAGTGAAAGAGAGAGAGTGAAAGAGAGAGAGAGAGAGGGAAAGAGAGAGAGTGAGGTCTGCAGGGTCGGGCCCAGACCAGAGTGAAAGCAAAGTCTGAAAGCGTGAAGAATAAGCAGGACCCATGCACTGGAGGCCGTGAGAGTGCATAGTAACAGCAGGCACCAGATACAGCGGCAGTGCCCAGGACCAGCAGGACCAGCCAGACCAGCCAGGACCAGAAAGGACCAGCCAGGACCAGGAAGGACCTGCTGTGACATACAGGCACCAGTCCCACAGCAGTAAGTAAAGGGAGGTCCCTGTCCACACTTCTACAAAGCATTTCTAGAACCTTCCAATGAATGCACTTCAGAATTCCCGTTCTTAGATCTAGTGGAAGAGACTTTGCAGAATTGTCTCCGTGTGTTTGTCGCAGCAGAAGAACTACTGAATGGGAGACAAACAAAGGAAGAGCCCATTGGACTGTGACGAGGTGTTGGCGGGGTATGTGCTCTCCGAGGGCACTGTCTAATGTGATGAAGAAGCTGGAACACCTCCTGTGAGCAGGGAACCAAAGCTACTGAAATTAGGAAAGCAATCCCAGAAAAGTCATTTGAAATCCCCCAGAAGTGTTAGTCCACAGCGGATGTTCCAGTGTGGGCCCTGAAAGGGGCGGGGCCTAAGCCAGCGAGTAGATGGCGTTGACAGGAGACGTGGCCTCGGAGCTCTCGTTGCCCTCGGTCTCGTCCTTGTCCTTCTTCACCGTGTACTGTCCGATGAAGGAGCCGTCCTCGTTGAACTGACCGTCTCCGCCCTCGCCGTAGTCCACCAGGCTGTCGTCGCTCTCCTTCACGTTGGCGTCCAGCGACGTCTGGCTCTGCAGCGGCTTGTGGTCCTCGTCTGAGCTGCGGGGGAAGAGACAAGTGAGTACAGGTACCATGGGGGAAGGGACAGGTGAGTACAGGTACCATGGGGGAAGGGACAGGTGAGTGCAGGGACCATGGGGGAAGGGACAGGTGAGTGCAGGGACCATGGGGGAAGGGACAGGTGAGCGCAGGGACCATGGGGCAAGAGACAGGTGAGTACAGGGACCATGGGGGAAGGGACAGGTGAGTACAGGTACCATGGGGGAAGGGACAGGTGAGTACAGGGACCATGGGGGAAGGGACAGGTGAGTACAAGTACCATGGGGGAAGGGACAGGTGAGTACAGGGACCACGGGGGACAGGTGAGTTCAGGGACCATGGGGGAAGGGACAGGTGAGTACAAGTACCATGGGGGAAGGGACAGGTGATTACAGGGACCATGGAGGACAGGTGAGTTCAGGGACCATGGGGGACAGGTGAGTTCAGGGACCATGGGGGAAGGGACACATAAGGACAGGTGAGTTCAGGGACCATGGGGGAAGGGACAGGTGAGTACAGGGACCATGGGGGAAGGGACAGGTGCGTACAGGGACCATGGGGGAAGGGACAGGTGTGTACAGGGACCATAGGGGACAGGTAGAGATGTCCGATAATATCGACCCACCGATATTGTCGGCTCTATACTAGCATATTAATGAAATATCTGATATCGGATTTGTTTTTCTTAAAACCGATAAATGAATGCTTGCATTACACCCAAATAGTGCCTATAGGCTCCTGAAGCGTATACCGGTGCACAGATGATGACCTCATCAAGCTGCGTCTTGAAGCAGATGGCCGCAGTAATAAACTTGCTACATTTCTGGTCCCTCTTCAGACGACAGAGCTACAGCGAGAGGAGCTGGTCACATCAGCGGTGAAATAAGTATAGCTGTAAAACATACATTTTCCCCAAAACTGGCTATTTATTCACCGATCCACTTCTCAATGTGAAAGGCCCACACCCCCCACGCTCCAGCGCGACCCACCATAATCAAAATGAACACAAACAACAGTGGTCCCTGTGATCAAAGTGCTCCGTGCTCTCAATATTTGAAAACAAAAAAGAGTCAGTGTCAGTGGTGAAGCCACGATTCAACTCACGGCCCCCGCGCATGTACCACGGCCCACCACGGCCCACCGCGGCCCACCGCGGTCCTCCAAAACTTGTCCTGGAGCCCAGCAGCGACCGTGGAGTAATAATCCACAGAGTCTTGTTAAATCCACAGTGTCTCGGTAATCCAAACCGAAATAACTCCAAAAGCGATTATAACCCGCGGGAAACGGGTCCTCCAGGTGAAGGTGTTGGCCTTGCTCCAAGTCGGCATCTGACGTCAAACCATGCGCGCCCCCGCACATGGTCTGACGTCAGACCATGTGCGCGCCCTTGCCCGACACTCTCAAATAGAGTCCCGCAAAACTCCATCAATAGACAATATTAATAATACTAATTGACAGCAAATGTAAATGACACAGAAAAGACCTGGAACATGATTGATTGTCACCATCCTGTGCGAACACATGGTAAGGACTATGTGGGCGTTACAGTGTTCCACTGTAACAGATATGTGATATCTATATATGTTACCTAAATTAGTTTTGAGGAAAAATAACAGGGACCAAAGGGGATGGGACAGGTGAGTACAGGGACCATAGGTGATGGGACAGGTGAGTACAGGGACCATAGGTGATGGGACAGGTGAGTACAGGCACCATAGGGGAAGGGACAGGTGAGTACAGGGACCATAGGGGAAGGGACAGGTGAGTACAGGGACCATAGGTGATGGGACAGGTGAGTACAGGGACCATAGGTGATAGGACAGGTGAGTACAGGCACCATAGGGGAAGGGACAGGTGAGTACAGGGACCATAGGGGAAGGGACAGGTGAGTACAGGGACCATAGGGGAAGGGACAGGTGAGTACAGGGACCATAGGGGAAGGGACAGGTAAGTACAGGGACCATAGGGGAAGGGACAGGTGAGTACAGGGACCATAGGGGATGGGACAGGTGAGTACAGGGACCATAGGGGAAGGGACAGGTGAGTACAGGGACCATAGGGGAAGGGACAGGTGAGTACAGGGACCATAGGGGAAGGGACAGGTGAGTACAGGGACCATAGGGGAAGGGACAGGTGAGTACAGGCACCATAGGGGAAGGGACAGGTGAGTACAGGGACCATAGGGGATGGGACAGGTGAGTACAGGGACCATAGGGGAAGGGACAGGTGAGTACAGGGACCATAGGGGAAGGGACAGGTGAGTACAGGGACCATAGGGGACAGGACAATGGGGCTGTTCAGTGATGGTTTGAGTCAAAAATTGCTCAAATGTGGTAAAAAGCTTCATAACCTGAAACATTCTGCCAATGGGACAAAGTAAAATTTTATTTTAAACAGAAACAGAAATGTTTCCTTTGAGGAAATAAACAGTTTTAATCAGACTAAATGTCTTTGTGTCGTTGGAGAATCAGCTTTGAACAGAATGTGTCAGATTCAGATAAAAACCCTGATAACAGATCGTTTTCGTTGGGAGTGTTTCCTCTGGTCCTGCGGAACCAGTTCTAGTCCCTCTGGGCCTTGGTTCCAGGACCAGCTGGTACTAAAGGGTTCTACAAAAGCCCTGTTTCCACCAGTCCTCCTTGGCTTTACTCTCCTCAACTGTACTCTACTGTACTCTACTCTACTCCTCTGTACTCTACTCTACTGTACTGTACTCTACTGTACTCTACTCTACTCTGTACTCTACTCTACTCCTCTGTACTCTACTCCTCTGTACTATACTCCTCTGTACTCTACTCTACTCTACTCTACTCCTCTGTACTCTACTCTACTCTACTCCTCTGTACTCTACTCTACTCTACTCCTCTGTACTCTACTCTACTCTACACCTCTGTACTCTACTCTACTCCTCTGTACTCTACTCTACTCTGTACTCTACTCTACTCCCCTGTATTCTACTCTACTCCTCTGTACTCTACTCTACTCCTCTGTACTCTACTCTACTCTACACCCAGTACTCTACTCTACTCTACACCTCTGTACTTTACTCTACTCTACTCTACTCTGTACTTTACTCTGTACTCTACTCTGCACTCTACTCTGCACTCTACTCTACTCTACTCTGTACTTTACTTCACTCTACTGCACTCCTCTGTACTCTACTCTACTCTACTCCTCTGTACTCTACTCTACTCTACTCCTCTGTACTCTACTCTACTCTACACCTCTGTACTCTACTCTACTCCTCTGTACTCTACTCTACTCTGTACTCTACTCTACTCCCCTGTACTCTACTCTACTCCTCTGTACTCTACTCTACTCCTCTGTACTTTACTCTACTCTACTCTACTCTGTACTTTACTCTGTACTCTACTCTGCACTCTACTCTGCACTCTACTCTACTCTACTCTGTACTTTACTTCACTCTACTGCACTCCTCTGTACTCTACTCTACTCTACTTCTCTGTCCTCTACTCCTCTGCAGTGTCTGTATCTTTAGAATCTCCCATATCCAATCAATCTACTAATAAAAAGGGGATATTCCTTGGTAACCGCGGCTTACCAGCTCGGCCTGGAGAGAACCAGGACCAAGAGGGACTAAAGCGAGGAAGGAAGTAGAGGAGAGTAGTGCTGGTGGAAACGGGGATAATGATTGGCTAGATTTGGATGTCCCTGAGTACAGAATTGTGGGTGATTAGGACACAGTTGTTCACCTCGGACTCGCACCGAGAGCCACACGTTAAAGATGTGATTATTGTTATTTTAAAGGCACCAACGACAAAGGGTGAACAAGAACTTTTACTCAGAACAGTTTTAGTGATGATCCAACTCTGACTTTTACAGATTTCTGCTCCTTCTTTGTAGATAAAGAATGTGATGCAAAAAGAAAGCAGAGGTTTTACATTTGTACGAGAGGTCCAGGAGAGCCCTGTGATATCCAGACGAGCTCACAGGGACATGAGAGCCGTGTGATATCCAGGCGAGCTCACAGGGACATGAGAGCCGTGTGATATCCAGGCGAGCTCACAGGGACATGAGAGCCCTGTGATATCCAGACGAGCTCACAGGGACATGAGAGCCGTGTGATATTCAGGCGAGCTCACAGGGACATGAGAGCCCTGTGATATCCAGGCGAGCTCACAGGGACATGAGAGCCCTGTGTTATCCAGACGAGCTCACAGGGACATGAGAGCCCTGTGATATCCAGGCGAGCTCACAGGGACATGAGAGCCCTGTGATATCCAGGCGAGCTCACAGGGACATGAGAGCCCTGTGATATCCAGACGAGCTCACAGGGACATGAGAGCCGTGTGATATCCAGGCGAGCTCACAGGGACATGAGAGCCCTGTGATATCCAGGCGAGCTCACAGGGACATGAGAGCCGTGTGATATCCAGACGAGCTCACAGGGACATGAGAGCCCTGTGATATCCAGGCGAGCTCACAGGGACATGCACTGGCCACATGCAGATTCTAGTACAGTCTAGATTAATGTATGGATCAGACACGAGAGGAGCAGCAAAAAGGACCTGACCCAGGACCACAGCCTGCAGCAGGTTGTAGATCATGGACCATAACTGTCGCCCCCTGCTGTGGTCCTAGACCCAGAGCACAGGGCCTTCTCTGTGGTCTTAAACCCAGAGCAGAGGGCCTTCTCTGTGGTCTTAAACCCAGAGAACAGGGCCTTCTCTGTGGTCCTAAACCCAGAGCACAGGGCCTTCTCTGTGGTCCTAAACCCAGACCACAGGGCCTTCTCTGTGGTCTTAAACCCAGAACACAGGGCCTTCTCTGTGGTCTTAAACCCAGAGCAGAGGGCCTTCTCTGTGGTCTTAAACCCAGAGCAGAAGGCCTTCTCTGTGGTCTTAAACCCAGAGCACAGGGTCTTCTCTGTGGTCTTAAACCCAGAGCACAGGGCCTTCTCTGTGGTCTTAACCAATGGCTTCTTAGTGACTCTTTTGTCGAGAAATTGGCTTCTCTATAAATCCCTCTGAGTTGACTGC